ACGTAAAGGCTGCAGCACCTTTGACAACTTCTCTCCACATATCAAACATACCGGTAAACCAGCATCGTTTGCTGTGAAAGCATATAACTCTGTCCGCACAGAATTAAATCCTGTGTTCCTCCGGTACTTTTCTTTGATTGATCCATAGTTCGCTCATCGAGCCGGGGGTCAGGTTATTCGCCTCCAAGAAAAGGCGCTCGCGCGGGACCGTAGCAGGATGTGACGCATATTTTAGTTGACCTAATTAAAACCGTTTTGTTTTTTATTTATGTGTCACAGTATCACCTCAAAATAGAAGATACGAAACATTTTCAACCATGCAACAAAATATAAATAGTCCTCCAAATACTTTTATTTTATTTCCTTCTTATTTTTGTCTAAACTCAAGGGAGCCAGAGCAGAGGGCTTAAAGGGCCGCATGCGGCCCGAGGGCCGCGGGTTGCCCACCCCTGGCCTATACTGTAGAAGTTGTTCTGACCCGGGGCAGACTGGACCTCTTCCTGGAATGGGGTTGGTGCTCCATCCTATATATTTTGTTCCTATTTAAGTGCACACAAAGGTATTTATTGATTTCATGTTCAGAAATTCAAACCTACATGGTATAATTACATTTTTAATTAGTCTTACCCGATCAGACGCTGGTTGTGGGTACCTGGGAGGTCTGATAAAGGTAAACAACAAATATATTCAAACTACTGTCCTGTTAAAACATTCTGCTTCTTGTGGCACAAAATAATATGTTGACAATGTTTTATTTTATCCTGGCAAACTGTTGTCCATTCGTGGAGTGCTCACTTTTGGAACATTTGGAATTTCCCACACCTGCATACACACAAATGACTGACTGAAATAAAATTAATTCACTTTAATTAAGAATAGATGCCACGATAAATCCAAACTCACCAAGGTACATTATATTGTTGACCGTCCTTTAACTCTCACATTAGGATTTAATTGGGGCAACCAACTCCTCTCTGCACCTATAATATATCTATATTATGATGTCAAGAGTTACATTTAGGTGCACAGTGCTGTCTCTTGACTTGCAAACTCTTTTACCANAATGTTTTAGATCTTTGAGTTCATCTCATGAAAAATGGGAGCAAAAACCAAAGTGTTGCGTTTAAATTTTTGTTCAGTGTATGATATATCTATATGATGTCAAGAGTTACGTTTAGGTGCACAGTGCTGTCTCTTGACTTGCAAACTCTTTTACCAAATAAGCTAACGCTAGCTGGGTAAATATGACGCTCTTTGTATCAAAACAAAACTTACCTTCTTATATATCGACTTTTTCCACTTCGATCAACTTTGTCCGCCTTCAATTTGCAGCACTTCACTGCAGCAGTTCGTTCTCTCTATGTCTGGTCAGACATCAAGTTGTTCCACGTAGCGCGCCCCCTAGAGGCCTGGAGCACTTCCGGAATGTTTTTGCATATTGTGCAGCGTTTTTTTGTTGCGATATAATTTGTCTAATCATTTGCGACCAAACGTCATCACGGCTGCGAAACGCCCATGTGTGTAGTCACTAAAAAAGTGAGGATGCCATTTGTTTGTACTGAAAAGGGAAAGGATTCTTTTTAGTTTTTTAATTTGTTTTTGACGGCATTAACCTGCCTTTCATATAACTTTGTTTTTATGTGATGTTGGGATTTTGCTTGGATGGTGGGTCATTTTTCATGCAAAAAAGGTGATTTCTCTTTTATATCCTCTTTTATTAAGCATTTTACAGCAATGGGTAGATAAATCAAGCAATTTGAACAGAATCTTTCTGGTACCTGGGAAACTATATCAGGAGTTTTTTAAGTAATTTGACACTTTCACAACAGCAACACAAGAATTTAGATTATGGCAGTAGACAACATTCATTGTTTAGTCAGAGATACAAAACCGTGAAAGACTACAAAAATACAGTAGGTTATTAAATTAAAACCAGAAGACCATACGTAATAAAAAGATTCCTTTAATAATAATAATATACACACAACTTCAGTCTTAACATTAGTGGAGTTGCAACGCTTAGTAAATCTACTGAGAAATATTCTGATAATCGATTAATTGCTTAGGTAATTTACAAAAATGGCAAAAAAGCTTTTTCCAGCCTTTCAAATATGTATATGTTGTCCTTTATTCTGTTATATCAAATTAAACTGAAACTTTTGGGTTATTGACTGACAAAACATGACATCTTGAGAAACTGGAATGGACATTTTTCACAATTTATAGTCCAGAAGTGGCAGATTAATCGATTATTAAAATAATTTGAATTTTGAGTTGCAACCCTTAACATAAGACAGCATTCTTGCCTTCCCCCCCAAACACTATTCAGATTTCTTTTTCAATAATTCAGAGGTATTAAGAGAAGCAGCGGACGGCAGTAGCTCCATGCGTTTCCTTTTGTCCTTAGCACGATTGATAATCATCTTGAATAAGTGACAGTATAACTCCATGGCAATAGGCGTGTCATCATTGCCGGGCACGGGGTACGTCAACAGGCTGGGGTTGCAGTTTGAGTCAACCACTCCAATTGTAGGAATGTTCATCTTTGCTGCATCTCTGATTGCCACGTGCTGCTGAAACACATTGTTGAGAGTGGAGAGGAAGACGATGAGGTCTGGCAGGCGGACCCCAGGGCCGTACTGGATCGGGGCGTTGGTGAGGAGGCCGCCCTGCCAGTAACGGGTGTGAGCGTACTCCCCACATCCCTGAGCAGTGCTCTCCACCAGCTGGCTGAACTGACGCTGGCGGCTTACAAACAGTATGATGCCCCCCCGATACGCTAAATGTGCGGTGAAGTTCAGGGCCAGCTGAAGGTGCTCCATGGTCTGGTCCAGATCAATAATATCTTGTTCCAATCGGCAGCCATACAGGTATGGTTCCATGAGCCTGTGAACAAAAATAATTACAGTTAGGCTATGTATGATATTGCATACTATTCATTGCCACAGTTTCTGAGTATGATATGTGGGCTTAATGGACGAGATATTTATTTCCCTAGGATGTAGAATGCTTCCTCCTCTTGCCTCAGATTGGGGATTGTGAAATGGTGTTTGTTCTGCTTTCCTGAAATAATCTTAAAAGCCATTGTTTTTCTCAAAGTATAGTAAAAAGTGGGCTAGTGGCACGGTTTAAATGTTTGTTAGAGGTGTATGCAGGGTTCCTGCAGGTTTCACCAACTCAAATTTACAACTTTTTTAGACCACTTTGAATAGCATTTAAGACATATTTCACGGCAAGAAAGTATGAAGGAAAATTGCTATGAAAGAAGAAATACGTCCCATAATTACCTACAAAGTAAATGTATTCATGTTCAACATAAGAACGATGACTGAATATAACAGTACACAGAACTGTGTTAGACAAAAAGTGTGTGTGTGTGTCTCTGTGTGTGTGTGTGTGTGTGTGTGTGTGAGTGTGTGTGTGTGTGAGTGAGTGAGTGTATGAGTGTGTGAGTGTGTGTGAGTGTGAGTGACAAGAGCTATATTCAGAGCTCTGCTGTCTTCATGCTGTTGTATGATTGGTGTTTAGCTACGGTATTTAGCGTCCACAGTACCTCCGCTTTTAGGGTTGACGCAGACCCAAACGTCACCCGGAGGCCGCCCGATGTTGTTGCGGGAGCTGCTGCACTAGCCAACGCCGCACTAGCTAACGCTGCATTAGCTAACCAAAAGCACATTTTTCGTTCCCCTCCACTGGTTTCAACCAAACACTAAATTTGATGTTTTCCAACCAAATAGGGTTGAACTTACACTTCGCCATTTTTATTTGCAAGTAGATTCGAAGATACCAAGGTTTCTGACTGCTGCTAGCTGAAGCTTGGTTGGTTGCTAGGATACTAGCTAGGTGTTCTTCGATAAGGGGCCGGGGGAAACAAAGTTAACGATTACTGGTTCCACGTCGATTTATTTCAATACAAATTGTTGGGGGGAACTGAAAGGCTATTACCGTACTGGCTACTTTGCAGCCCGGACATTTCCCCCTAAACACATTTAGACCCTATCGCAACACAGAAGTATCTTTCAAATCCGATCATTTTTAAGACCTTCTAAATCATATTTAAGACCTTTCTANGTCTTCATGCTTTTGTATGATTGGTGTTTAGCTACGGTATTTAGCATCCACAGCACCTCCGCTTTTAGGGTTGACGTAGACCCAAACATCGCCCGGAGGTCCCCCAGTGTTGTTGAGGGAGCTGCTGCACTAGCTAACGCTAAACTAGCTAACGCTGCACTAGTTAACGCTGCATTAGCTAACGCTACACTAGCTAACGCTACACTAGCTAATGCTACACTAGCAAAACAAACGCTAATTTATTTTTGTAAAAGGTGCGGCGGGCTTAAAACACGTTCCCCTCCACTGGTTTCAACCAAGCACTAAATTCGATGTTTTCCAACCAAATACGGTTGAACTTACCCCATATTTATTTGTAAGTAGATTTGAAGATACCTAATTTCTGACTGCCGCTAGCTGAAGCTTGGTTGCTAGGTGACTAGCTGGGTGTTCTCCGATAAGGGGCCGGGGGAAACAAAGTTAGTGATTACTGGTTCCATGTTGATTTATTTCAATACAAATTGTTGGGGGGAACTGAAAGGCTATTACCGTACTGGCTACTTTGCAGTCGGACATTTCCCCCAAAACACATTTTAGACGCGATCGCAAAACAGACGTAACTTTCAAATCTGATCATTTTTAAGACCTTCTAAATCATATTTAAGACCTTTCTTATTGTTTTGGTCATATTTAAACATACTTAAGTTTGAGACTTTTTAAGACCCCGCAGGAACCCTGTTTAATAACTTTGTTGAGCACCCTTCAAGCAAAGATGCAGCCCAAAGAGCTCAACAGAACAAGATGCAGAAAAACATACAGTTGTTAAGTTGTTTATCTGTGTGCGTGTTTAATTAAAGATTTATATTGTTGTCTTTATCCTGCAACTGGATGACTAACAGGAGAGCTACCTCTGTATGAGCTGTGCTTTCTGCCCTCCTGCTTCTACTCATTTTGTTTGTTTGTCGGATGTAAAAACGGTCTAATTGTTGAAATAGTAGAATTAATATAAAAACAAATTTCACAAACTTCCGGAAAGTCCTAGTTTTTTGTTGTGCTTTTCAAGGACGAACTAAATCAAACTTCCTGTAACTAACTCCGATAGCTATCACATTGACTCCTTGTAGGTCACTGAGAAAGAGTTCCTGTAGCAGTATTAGGTCAAAAGGTAAGAGTGAAATGACCCAATGTGCAGATGGACATGCTGAACCAGGGATTACTCAAACCTCTAAGTGCCACAGAGTGCTCCTCACCATTAGTAAAATTGCCAATGGTGGCGCTGTACTTGCCGCTGGGGGGGTTGTAGATCTGCCGCGCGTCCCTCCGGGGCAGAGGAGAGATCTGCTTCTTTGTGCTGCCGCCGGGGCCCAACTCCTCACCCGAGGGGCGCTTCGGCCTGGAGAAAAACAAAAGACAGGAAGATGAAGTTGATGACGAGCAAACGAGGCAACAAGGAACTGAAACCGTGTTTGGCTTCTGATGCTGAAGAAAGGTAGACTCACGCCGCTGCCTCCGACTTCTGCACCGGTTTCCAGGACAGAGTGACGGAGCTCTTGAATGATGGAGGGTTGTGGAAAAGATCCTGGGAAGAAAAACAATATATTTAGTTCAAGCTAGATAAAGAAATGTTGATTTGGAACATGTTGAAGGCGAGTGTTACACTGCCACACACGTGAGCCTGAAAATAGCTTACTTTGATGAGGACGTTGATGTTGTTCGTGATCTTGAGAGCCACCACCTTCATTTTGTTCTGATGAGAGAGAAGGTAAGTTAGTCTGATATATTTTAGAGGAAAAGTCAGTACATCTAGACCAGGGGCGCCCAATACGTCGATCCCAAAGGTAGTGTGGGTAAAAAATTGATGTAATGACCAAAAATGTACCGAGTTGTATTGTGCCATACGGGTTCATGCCGTTATGCAAGGTACACCAACATAAGGTATACTCAGTGTATGTATGTATGTATGTATGTATGTATGTATGTATGTATGTATGTATGTATGTATGTATGTATGTATGTATGTATGTATGTTAGGGCCGGGACTTGATTAAAAAAATTAGTCTAATTAATTAGAGGCTTTGTAATTCGAAATTAATCGCATTTTTAATCACATATAAATATTTGACCTGAGAACAGTGAGAAGCAATTTTTTTCACATGGATTTTAGTATACCATTGAATAATGACTGAATACATAAGCTTAAGCAACAAAACATTGTTTATTTTTTTTCAAGGTGGTACTTAACCAAGACCAACAGAAAAGTGCAATTTTTGCCATAAAGTGTAGCAATAGCATATTTAGGAATATAGTACATTTCAGAGNCGCTAGCTTCCACGCTAGCTGCTATATGTTTTGCATTGAGGTGATACTTGAGGCTTGATGTGCTGCGGTGATATGCAAATTCCTTTTTGCATAATTTGCAAACAACCGTGCTCTTATCGACGCTTCCATCCGTCCGTTTTTTAAAACAAAATTTCCCATCCACGGGGCCAACCAAAGCGGTCTCACCAGCTTCTTCGTTCATGTTTGACTATTGTTCACTGTGGTTTGTTGTTGTTTGAAGTCATGAACGTTAGTTGGTGCTCCAGTATAATCGGTACGCCTGAAACTCATCCAGTGAGAAACGTTCCGTGGTGCAAAAATAAGTGCGATTAAAATGCGTATTTTTTTTTACCGCGTTAATTTTTGTATAATTACTTAATCTTAATTAACGCGTT